GGAATTTCTTGATTATTTCCCCCACTGAACAATTACAGCCAACTTGTGGCCATTTTTGTGATTGTTATGGTCTTGTGACTTAACGTTTATTCTCTAAAGAGCTGTTATTAAAAATGGGGTTGTTACGGGTTGGTTCAGCAGGGTTTGGTGGGGTGACTGGAGAGAGATTTTCAGGTGGTCTCAGTGAGACTGGTGTAAGATTTTTAATGTTGCATTCAACAGCCTAAAATGCAAATTTCAACCACAGCTCATAGTATGTAGCATGTAGATCCATTTCTATCAAGGGTCCTCAGGGACCCCCAGCAACCACATTTTTGCTCTAATGCAGCTCCAGTTGATGATTTTAATCAAGTATAATTGGTTTTCTTTGAAGGCAGAGACAGTTAAATGGTGTTTACTGTGATTGTATTTATTTTTAATGAAGCACTGGATTTAATTTTCCCTTGCTCTGTCCAGTTTGTACAGATTTGTGTGGGTTTTAGTAAGTAATTCATAAGTAGAAGTACTTTAGAGTAGTGAGATTACTTTTTTCAGGAGTTATTAAGTAAAATAAATCCATTATAATTTGAGAGAAGTAATTATTAACGTTGCCTTTTTAGGTAGAGAGAGAGAGAGAGAGAGAGAGAGAGAGAGGATGATGCCCCTTTGACTTGAATAACCATACACCATCTTGGTTTACCTCACATATAATCAAATGTTCATTAACTTGGGCTAATAATATGTGGTAAATGTAATGATGTCATATATGTTCCATTAGGCTGCGGTTTTTCATTCAATAAAGCTAAAAGCCGTATGTATACATAAGACAGTGCTTTGTTTAATGTGTTCAGGAGCTGTGTCCATGATTTTCGGTTTGTTGGTTAACAATTAATCACCAACCAATAGTGATCAGTTATTGGTCAAAAGAATTTCTCAAAATTCCCATAGTTTTACACAAGATATACAATTTCATCACCTTTTCTAATAGATCTGAAAATATATAGACATTCATCAATACACTGACAACTCTAATTTCCATTTACATTCCACACTACACTTTTCCACAAGGAACCCAGCTAAGGATCTGACTGAAGTATAGTAAAGTTTTAGAAGGTTAAAAACATTTTGTATATTCCCTGATTTCAATGAAATGCACAATATATTGGGTGTCTAAAAATGTGGCCATAGAAGATTCCATAAAAAACTTTCAGAACAATTTTTATAGATGAGATATATGAGTGTGAAGAACATTTTAAAAGTTTGAAGAACCTCCACATAATGTAAACTGTCTCGGTATGGAACAATGTGAAGGTTCTTTAAACTTTAACATGTTTGCACACATTTCTTTTTCCACACATTGTGCCTTATTCACCAACCGTTCTTAAGAAAAAAATTCTTCTTAAAATCCACTTATGCAGTTTTCATGAAGATTCTGCCATTCACCAATGTTTTCTTATTTGGGACTTATTCTTAGTTAAGAACAGAATCTACACACACTCAAGAGCACAAAGGTGTGCACAGTTTTAGGATTTAAGAACACACCATTAATCTGACACAGATTGAGTTTTTCTAAGCCCTTTTCTCAAGAACTAATTTAAAAGAAGACTTAGGAAAATATTGATGAGTGAGGCCCAGGGTCCTTTAGGATATCAAAAGTGGTTCCTCTATGGCATCACTCAGAGAACTCTGTGTGGCACCATTTCTAAAAGGTTTATGTGGACAGTTCTTTATATAAAGTTTATATAAAGTGCTATTTAGAAAAACATTAAACGTCATGTTTTATGCCATTGTATGTATGTAATAAAATAATAAATAAATAAAAATGATTATGCATGAAATGGTTAACAACATAAAAAAAAAACAATGCAGTCATGAGCACTGTGTACACTTCCTACATCTAATTAGACAGGAATCACAGAGAAGGAGAATGTGGTGCCTTTAGTCTGTCTGAACAAAGTATTGAATTACAGTGACCAACACAGGAAAGAGGTTCATCATGTCTGTTTGTCTTGTTCTTGTCCTCTCCTCTTCTCCTTCCCCATTCTTCTCATGTCCAGCTGTCAGCCCATCAAAACCTGTTCTGCTATGTTCTTTTACCTCAGATGTTTGCAGTGCTGCTTCAACAGCGTCAGTTATATTATAAACATTAAGCCTAGTGAATGAATGTCAAATTTTCTGTAGTGATGACACAATTGTAATAGGGTATAATATAAGAACGGTTGTATTTATAACATATTTATTAAGTGAACTCAATAGTTCACTTAATAGTACATGCTATTCATCTGGATTAACCCCTTAAAATCCCAGGCTTATTATATACTAAGGCTTATTATTCAGTAACTACATGGACTTCAGTGCAAACTGGTTGAGCTTTTCTTTGGTTCTAAAAGTGTGTAATAAAACTGTGGGCCTGCTGGTGGGCCCTGGCTGTGTACAAGGTTAATAAGAAACAACATAGACAACAAAATTAACTCAAATGATCAACAGAGTCAGGAAATCTGTTCAATAGAAATCAGGTATTTTTTGGTACATACATACATCTTCTAAACCGCTTATCCTTCTGGTTCACGGTGGGGTGCTGGAGCCTATCGCAGCTGTCATTGGGCGGAAGGCAGGATACACCCTGGACAGGTCGCCAGTCCATCGCAGGGCAGACAGACAGACATACACAGTCACACACACACACACACACACACACTCAGACCTAGGGGCAATTCAGCATGTCCAATCAGCCTGACTGCATGTTTTTGGACTGTGGGAGGAAACCGGAGTACCCGGAGGAAACCCACGCAGACACGGGGAGAACATGCAAACTCCACACAGAAACGACCCGGTCGCCCGGCCGGGAATCTAACCCAGGCCATTCTTGCTGTGAGGAAACAGCGCTACCCACAGCGCCACCGTACCGCCCTATTTTATGGTAAAGTTTGAATAAATGTAAGTGCCATAAGTAAGCTAATAAGGGCACATTTTAGTAGGTTATGGGAAAATGATATATGTTTTTTTCCTTGTCTAGATGATGACACTCTTACTTTACTCAGATAAGTAGAGATAAAGTGCTCAAGTTTCTCCTATACTACACCATAGTAGTACACTGAGCTACTTTTAGCTATTTTTACATGTATTAGATTAATATAGTTTATGTAACTTGTAAAATGTTAAAACATTAGGCAGAAAATTAATCTCTGAAAAGAGCTTCCTTTGTTAATATGTTCATGTTTTATTGCAGCAGCAAAATAATTCAGTGTTTAAATGGCTCTGTGTCTTAGTGACATGTAACAATGTTGGACCAGAAATAAACAAATAAACAAACAGCTCCTCCACATTCAGTACACTCTTAACAAAAAGAATTGTGTCTAGTACCAAAAACGTTCTATGACTTGTAGTAACAGTGGAACACTTTTTGTTTGAAAGGACCTTTAAAAAAAACCTTATACAACAGAAATGCAAACTTATTTAACCATAAAGGAGGGTACATACTTAAGGGTTCTTTAAGGGTTCTTCATTATACTTATAACCATCAACCATCTGAAGGCATAAATGGATCTCTGCATGGTCAAATTATTCTCCTCTATAATGGAGAACTAGTTGTATATAGTTCTTTAAAGAACCCCCTTATAAATGGTTCTATTTAGCACCAAAAAGGGTTCCACCATTGTTATGAGTCAAAGAACTGCTTTTCAGTACTCTATTGAACTCTTTTTGCTAAGAGTATGTATGTTATTATTGCTTTCACTCAGGGGGAGCCTATCAGTGCTCTAACACTTGAAGAACTGCAGGCATATCTGGGCTTATTCACTGTTTCCTGCATTTATATTTTAGGAAATAATGAATAATGCCCAGATAGGCTTGGCTAAAGCTCAAGATGCCTGAACTCAGAATGTAGCAGAGACATGACTCACTGTTACTTTCCATCAATAATACTTTTATTCTATTGTGGAAAGTAGGCACGAAAGGGGGTTTCTAGCAACCATGGAATCTGAAGATAAAGATTCAGCTTGCAGCACAGAAACCCAGAAACAATGTTTGTGACTATGCAGGTATTCACGAGGCAAATTTCTGTCTCCACAATCCACAACCATTCAGATTACACAGTACAGACTGGAGTTTTACTGGAAGAGAGAACGTCATAGGCAGTTGTTTGACCTTATGTCTACGTGAACGTAAGCTACTATATAAACTACTATATTACTCTTGTTAGATCTAGAGTGGTTAGTTCAAATACGGTCTAAATAATGGAGGTTAATCTGGCACTAACTCTGTGACTAACCACTGGAACTAAGATTGTATTGTAGATAAATCGGTAAATGTAGTATTGAAAAAAATAGCACATGCTGACATCAGTTCCACTACATCCACATCCAATTATGCAACAAAACTGACTACATTACTCTCTCTCTCTCTCTCTCTCTCTCTCTCTCTCTCTCTATATATATATATATATATATACATATACATATATATATATATACATATATATATATATATATATATATATATATATATATATATATATATATATATATATGTACACACATCAACGCGTCAAACACTGAGGGTTATTATTTTCCACCTTAAATAAGTGATTATGATCGATTGTGATTCTAACACTGTCTGTGCTCTGAATGTCATTTCAAAGAAATAAATCTTACTCTGAAAATAGTGACCAAAAGTCCCTCTCCGCCGCTCGTGAGCTTTCATGTCCCACCCCACCCCCGCGCGCGCAGTTTGTTTACGGGATGTTCGTGCACGCGCGCGCCACAGCTGCTGCTGCTGCTGCTGTACGTCGCAGCCTTCGTAGAATCGCGCGCGGAATCCGAATTCCAGCAGCGCGAGCCCCGCCCCGCCCCTCCTTATGCAAAACCGATTTAAGCAAAAGTGGCGCCCCGAGAGCTGAACCGCGCGACCCGCATCACACACACACGCACACACACACTCAAAGTCGAGAGCTGCGGCGAGGTAAGCGCGCGCATTCACTGTTTCACACACACAGAAAATTCTAAAAGCAGAATTAAGGATCACGGGCGTCAGTTTGCGCCTCATTTATACTGCAGTCAATACACTCAGCTGAACGGAACTTTTCTCCACCTCCCGCTAGATGTGCTCGGACGGGGAGCGCGCGACGACGGGTAGCTCAGGTAACGGGAAGTTGCGGCAGTGGCTGATCGAGCAGGTGGACACCGGTAAATACCCCGGCCTGGTGTGGGAGAACGACGAGAAGAGCGTGTTCAGGATCCCGTGGAAGCACGCGGGCAAACAGGACTACAACCGAGACGAGGACGCAGCACTGTTCAAGGTAGAGAGAGAGAGAGAGAGAGAGAGAGAGAGAGAGAGAGAGAGAGAGAGAGAGAGAGAGAAATGATGTAAAGTGAGAGAAAAGAGAGATGGAGGAGGAGAAGGAGAGTAAAAGAGAGAGAGAGAGAGAGAGTTGGTGTGGTAGTAGTGAGAGCAGCTCTGCTCTTCTTCCTTTCATCTGCACTAAGTACTGAAATGTGCTCCTGTAAAATATGCACTGAATCTGGATTCTATTGCATCATATTCGCCTCACTTAAATACCGCTGAATAAACATCTCCGCCTAATGAATCAGTGTAAACGCAGACTACTTTAGACTGGGCTTTGTTACCACATAGAGCAGAGATGAGTTACAAAAAGAGAGAGAAAGAAACGAGATGAATCCACAGGAAGAGAGAGATGGAAGAAGAGAGAGAAAGAGATGTAGGGAAAGAGAAAAGTATGAGAAATGGATAAAACAAGGAGGGAGGTTGTCTAACGAGAGATGGATGTAGGGAAAGAAAAAAGAGAGATGGACAGGTGGGTGAAAAGTATGAGTGTTGGTGTAGAGTGAGAGAAACGAGATGAAGGGATAGAATAGCGAGAAAGAGAGCAAACAGGAAGAGGTGGATGTAGAGAAAGAAAGAAAGAAAGAAAGAAACAGAAGTAGATGACAGAGAGAATAGAAAAGGGGATAGGTAAAAAGAAAGAAATTGTGTAAAGTGAGAGAAAAGGGTGATTAGAGAAGAGTGAAAAGTAAGGTGGATGTAGAATGAGAGAGAGAGAGAGGGAGGAGAGAGAGAGAGAGAGAGAGAGAGAGAGAGAGAGAGAGAAGAGAATCAGTTGTGGAAAGAGAGATGGAGGGGAGAGAGGTGGGATGTAGAATATGAGAGAGAGAGAGAGAGAGAGGAGAGAGAGACAGAGAGAGAGAGAAAGAGCGTTTTAGTAGCACAGAGAGTGATCCTGCATCTCTCTCAGCACAGAGCGTGTGTATTGTACTGAAACTGTCTGTGTGTGTGTGTGTGTGTGTGTGTCTGTGTCTGTGCACTCTGCAGGCCTGGGCTGTGTTTAAGGGTAAATACCGTGAGGGCATCGACAAACCAGACCCACCCACGTGGAAGACGCGCCTGCGCTGCGCCCTCAACAAGAGCAACGACTTCGAGGAGCTGTTGGAGCGCAGCCAGCTGGACATCTCTGACCCTTACAAGGTGTACAGGATCGTTCCCGAGGGGGCTAAAAAAGGCAAGTGGACCAAAAAAAAAAAAAATTAACATACACACACACACACACACACACACACACACAACCTTGACTGTTTTTTTCTGAGTTCTATATGACTGTAGACAAACCTGCACAAAGACATGGCCTGGCCCCTGAAAAATTCCCCTGAACAGCACCCCTACCTCAAAGATGCAGATCGAGATTGTCACACTTGATATGATCTCGCTGATCTGAGCTGCATGGTGGTAGCTTGACCTTAGCATGTGGCATAACATCATGCACGCAATGACAGAAAAGCCCTTTTATTAGGGATGTGCCAACCACTTATTTTAATGGCTGATTTGGCCTTTTTTTAAACTTCCAAACTCACAAACTTAAATATGGCATTTTTCAGTAAAATTCTATTCATTTTAAGTTTATTTTCTCGTTTAACAAATTGAAGAAAAAAAAAAAACATAAAATATAAGAGGCCATATTTTATGTTCTATTCCTTATTTTCCCCAAGATGTTAAAGACAGCAAATAAACAGCAAGTGTGTTTTCTGTGGAGGACATGTTAACTCTTTTTCACTTATGAAATCAACAAAATGTTGTCAGGAATGACTGACAGATGTTTGCATACTACTGAATATGTTGCAAATTTTTATTTACAAAGTATAAAATCTGGTTTGTAAAATGCATATTTTGCTTGAGGAGTGTGGCTTGTTGTGGGTGGATCCCTGAAAGTCTTCCCATTTTTCTCTTATGGGTGGCCATGACTATAGCTAAATGCTTCTGTGCTACACCTAACCTCACTTTTACCTTAGCAACCAAAAGGTTAATACAAGCAATGGAAAAAAAAAAAGATCAGTCAAGTCTGCACAATTTCAACATTTACATTTTAAGAGCTGAATAGATGACAACACAGAGACTAATAAGGCAAACAACACATACATACCACATTACATAAACAAAATGTCCAAACAACACATATAATGTAATAACCTCATTATACTGATTTCTTATTCAGTTTTATGTAGTGCCACTGACAATCAATGTTTGATATTTCTATATTGCAGGGCCCAGGTCATTGGATGACACTCCACCAAACACAAGCCCACCCAGTTACCCACTACACCCCTCCTATGCACCCCTCCAGAGTCAGGTAACAGTGATGATAAAGACTTGTTTACACTGGTTTTTCATGCGGCTGTGTCTGCGTGCAAGTAAATATTTTGTTCTCTACACAGGTATGTAACTACATCTCTCCAGTAGAGAGGAGCTGGCGGGATTACCTCTCAGACAAGCCCCCTATATCAGACATCCCCTACAACCAGAACCCTTACACCCCTCGCTGGGACACAGGTATACCTCATGTTCTTTACCTCAAACAGAGTCAATCTGGAAAGACATATTTGGTATTTAAAGTCTACTTTTACAGTTTTGCACTGTAGGACATATGGTTATCATAAAAATGGCACACAGCTAAAACAGTAGCGAAGCCTGAATATCATCTGTACTTTTGTCCATTTATATAAATAACGGAACATAAAGTATCGGAAACAATGTAATCAAGTCTATTTGACACTACTTAACAACTCTATGTGGTTTGAGGCAAGTGTGTGATAACTGAGACATGCAATTAGCACAGTGCTAACAGAAGCTCCCTTTACTTGTTAGCTACATTAGCCTCAAAACATCATCCAGTGCAAAACTAAAGAGGTAATCTGCAGATAGTGCTCATGGCAGACTGGGATTTTATTTGGTGTAAATAAAATTTTTCACTGAACTATTGCTTTAATGTTGGGTTTACAGCATGGAAGATATATATCGAGAAATGCCTTTACTGAAGATGTCACCTGCTTCAACATGCATGCTTTTAACTGTTACCAATGCTCTGTGTTTAGGCTACCAGTTCAGCGGCTCTTTCTACAGCTGCAGCGCCTCAGAGCCTTTACCTTCTGCATTTACATTGGACTCCAGCATGAAATCAGCAGAAGCCATGGCCCTATCAGGTACAGATATAGACCTCTGAAGTTGTGTTGCCACTCTGTAGTCACTGTCATGCCCATACTAGGAACTCTGGGTCTTAAGCTGGTTCTCTCTATGAGAAAAATGAAAGGGGTTTTTGAAAATCGCTGCTATCGTGCCCTGCTCTAATGTTCCAAACCTGAAACGTTTTGCTGTATACACATTCTTCCTCAGAATGTCACTGGATCCTCTGAATTATGAAGTCAATTAGGGGCCAAAATACAAATAATACTACATTCAAGCTAACGCGGCCATGCATTGTACTGACATAAGACTGGCAACCTCACTGAAATACCCCATGCAAACCAGGTACTTGAGTACTTGGTTAACCATTTGAGGTGCCAATATTCGAATACTCACATCACTGCTTGGGTACTCAATACGTTTCATCACGTGAACATAGCACGTTGTCCACTGAGAAGAAAAAACCTTGTGTAAATCCTCAAAGCATCAAATGTGACACCGGCAGCTTTATTAGCTCAATATATACAACAATAAAACATGTTCCTCTGCGTGCTGCTTTATTTTTGTGCAACACCAGTGCTGTCACTTAAAAAGGTGAGCCTACAGCCCTACATTGCTTACAGTCCAAGTTTGTTTTTTCCCCATTATTTGTCCTTATCTGCGGTTAACAGGATTGTCATTAACTCCTACGGAAACTTAAATATCAAAACAAAATTTGTTGGAATGCACATCCCTTATGCAAACCAGTAGGCTTTTTCAAATGTGGTAGTTAGGATGCTTTAGCAGTAGTAGCATACAGTTAGAGTAGCTGGTGAGGTTGTGTAATAGTGGTAAGATACAGTATTAGCCTTCCTTTACACAACATTATTCCAGTATGCAGCAGTGTTAGATGGCTTGTAGCCTGTATTAACTTGCTTGTAGCACTCAGTGTGGTTTTATTCACATTATTGACTGCAAAACGACGTTGTAATTCAGAGGATCCAGTAATTCCTGTATGTAAGACAAAACATATTAGGTTTGTAACATTTCTGTTTACTACAGAGTGCAACATCGGCAATTTTCTGAAACGCCATTCATTTATCTCATAGAGAAAATTTGCTTAGACTCGGATTTCCTAATATGGACAAGCAGCCAACTATACAGTGATGCTCAGTGAGGTCTGTTTATATATTAGAAAATTACATTCCTGTATTTCTGTGATATTTCAATGAAGTTGTGCTGTGCTACACCTAATCCAACTCTAACTTCAGGAACCAAAAGCTTGGATTTTTGTCTTTTTCCAAATAAAAAAGCTGCATTTTTGCATCCTTGGCGGTGATGCAGCTTGAACAAATTCTGAAAGAAATCTTTTGAAAAACTGGTTTCTGACCTGCTGTCATGCCCTTCCTACTTAGATTACCGTCTCCAGGTGGCAGTGTTTTTCCGGGACGCTTTAGTGCGGGAGATGACTGTAAGCAGTCCAGAAGGCTGTGTGCTGGGCGTGAGCAGAGACGGGCTGCCATATGGAGCCTCTGAAGGCCCAGAGCTGGTGGAGCTTCCTCAGGTGGAGCGGGGTGCTCTAGAGCATGGTGTTCTCTTGTGGATGGCACCGGATGGGCTTTATGCCCGCCGCCGCTGCCCATGCAGGGTCTACTGGGAGGGAGGCCACACAGCGGCCAGCAACAAACCCGGCAAACTGGAGAGAGAACAGACCTGCAAACTGCTGGACACTCAGCTCTTCATCACAGGTTAGAAAGAAAATCATCTACTACATCATTATTGAAGTAACATCATTTAGTAAAGCAATAAGTCAAGAAAGGCTGTGTGTTCATGTTAGGCACAAAGCACGACACAAAGCACAAAATAGCTTTTGCGATGCAAAGATACAAAATGCATTGATATAGTACATGTTTAATAAACAATTTAAGTTATTCTTCATAAGAATCACAATAAACAATTCTTTCACGAAGCAAGCAATTTGTTAACAGCTAATATGTTATTCATTGATAATTGGGAATGTTGAATTATTAGTATCTGATTATGGAATTACAACTGATGATTAAGTGCCCTTTTTTAATGCTAGTGCTGGGCATTTCCATCCTTTATAACCCCACAAATGTATAGCAGAGTGGATAACACCACTGCCCCACCACACAGAAGATTGATGGTTCAATTTCCCATCCAGTTGGAAATGCCATACTTAGAATATGTGGGGGTAAAACTCCTAACATTACTGTAGCCTACAATTGTACGTAGCTCTGGATAAAATTGTCTGCTAAATGATTTTACAACAAACATTTGCGTATTTATAATAAAATAAGCAAATGTTTACAGCAGTTGACTGATTTAGTTGTATCATGGCTATGTAAAATTAATCAATGAGCCACGGTTTTAACCCTTAGAGTCCCAATCTTACTACATCCTAAGGCTTATTACTCAGTAACTACAAGTGCCACAATGCAACTTGGTCTATATAATAACTATAACTCTGAATACAGAGGTGAGAAATATGAGTTTAGACCTGCTGGCAGCTCACTGTACTTTATATTTAGATTATAGTGTGAACTTGGTAAAACAGAAAAAAATGTAAATTATAGGTTACTGGTATTGGTATCAACCAAAACAAAGTGATAAATATTGGTTATTGTATTAAAATGAAATGGTAATGCATCCATAATTTATTCTGTTAATTTATTGTTTTTCTATCTTAATATTTCTGCCAGCAAAACTCAGTTCAATCAGCAAGACCACTCACAGTCTCTTGCTGTAGAAATGACATTTCGGTAAATAGAAGCATTCTCTTTCTTCGAATTCTGTTAGTAAATACTCCACTGACATAAGACCCCAGCTGCAGCGAAACTACTAAGAACTGATCAATTATTACAGTAAATAAGGTCACACTGACTTACAGTAAATATTCGACCACACTACACATGGGGTTTGATTCACCACAACACAGATAAGCTCTGAACTGCAGCAGCCACTCACCCTGCCCACGTCACTGGCTGACTAGGGCAGTAGATTTGCATACCTGCACACAGGACTTTCCAGGATGTGATTCGTTCACAGATGAGAATCCCCATAAGTCACATGTTATGAGTTACTTGTAAGAGAGAAAGATAATGGAGAAAAAGAGTGAGAGAGATGCATATTTACAGTCAATATGACCAATTAATTTCTATGAATGTGATACACTAGTACTAGTTGGCACAGCAGAAAAATGCAGCCTAGTATAGATGAATTAATCTGTTAGAAGGAAACACACACTTGTAGCTCTATTAAATAATATGTACAATTTTAAATTAAACAATTAGCTAATTAATTAATAATGAAAAAATATTAAAATATATATAATTTTGTTCAAATTGAAAGAAGCAGCATTTCACAAGAAAAGCTAAAATATGGTGTCCGTTTTGAGATCTCTTTGAATCATTACATTCATCCTCTCAGGGAAGAGGTCCGAAGCAATGTTACAAAATATTCTTCAGCATGTTGCATGCAATTACACATTTCCACCAGAGAGGTCTCCAAATCCCCAAAATTTGTATAGTGTAGCAGCGTAGCTTTAAGTATTTTGCATATTGCCATTGCGGTAAGAAAACAATATATAATGGTAACTTCATAAGAAAAGAAAAAACAAACTTTCCTAACTTTAATGTACCTTAATGTAATGATGTAAGTAATTTTGGAACGATTTTCCTAAGTTTATACTTCATGAAATGTTCATACAATATAAAGGGTAGATGGCTCGTAAAACTAGTGTGAAATAATAAAAATAAAAAAAAATATGTCTACGAGGGTTTGATTTGATTGTCACAGTATTGAGGTATTTAATTTTTTACCTTGAGTTTGTCTTTTCTTCTTCCTTTTAAGAGTTTCGACTAAACTGTGTTTTTCTCTCCCTCTCTCTATCAGAGTTACAGAGCTATGCTCTGCATGGACGTCCTCCGCCCTTTTCCCAGGTACTCCTGTTCTTTGAAGATGACAGCGCAGAGCCACAGAGGCCAAGAAGGACCATAACAGTGCAGGTAACATGTCTGATGTGGTCTTCTGTACACTCTGTGGCCCTCGGTTGTATGTACATCACTCAAAGAGAGAATGGCACATTTTCCACATATTCATTTTCTCTCATTCAATGTTATCTGGTAAACACTGTTAAAAATGGTGCAGTATGCTTGGCCAGTCAGCTTGAACAGTGCCGCTAGCCCCACCCTCAAACACCTTTGGGTCCTGTTATGTCCATCTCAAACCATGACCAGTGACCAACAAAAAATAACACAATACATGTTTTCTGGTAGCTAGAAAGTGGCAAATATCCCTAAGCAGTGGAAAAAGCCTTAAGACGAGGTGTTTTGAGTGTGTACAGTGTCTAATGTGCAAATCATCTTTCCATCATGCTCTAGGTGGAACCCTTGTTTGCACGCCAGCTTCTTTACCTCACCCACCCGAGCAGCATGAACTACATCCGCAGTCACAACCTTTCACCTTTGCCTCCGGAGCACGCCATTCCCTCCAGCCAGGACTTCCACAGAGTCATTACCCATCACCATAGCAACAGCCTGTGAAATTCCTAAAAAAAAGCTAAAAGAAAGCAAGCTGAAGATTTCAGGATGCTGAAACAAGAAACAGTGGAGCAGAGCAAAATGAACCAAAGCAAAGACAAAGACAAACGCAACACATTTGTTGTTATGGGGCAAGACTGAGAAAATCAACATGGCCAAACACACGGGAGCATTTGCTGAAAGGACAGAAACTATTGCAAACTGCATTCATTTTCATTGTTTGTCTTGGACTTGGCATTCCTTTTTAGTATTCTTCAATATATGGCTGGATTCCCAGACCCGGATTAAGCCTAAGCCTAGACTAAATAGGATTTATAATGATGCAACACCTTTAGCATTGCAATGCAATCCAGGACAAGGTTTAATCCATGTCCAAGAAACCAGCGGTTTATCTCAGGGAGCTGCAGTTAAACAGTATTGAAGTTGTCAATAGGAAATTTCACAGATTTTTTTTTTTTTTTTTTTCTGCATAATCCAGTTCTTGATATGTAAATAAAGCCATTCAGAGTGGTTTCATGTAACATGGTGCATTGTAGAGAAACAATGTCTATAACACAAAATACAACTATTTTATTTACTATCCAAAAGACTGGTAAACCTACATGTCTTTTGGGCTTTTACATGTATGTTAGCAAAGGCAAATTTATGGTAAACATGAAAAAACAGGTTTTCTTTGGGGACTATTTTGCCTTACTATGTCCTGCATGTACCTCTAAGCCAGGAATGGATTTAAAAAATATGTTCTAAAATTTTATCTCAGATCTGTCATTACAACAATGTCTCAGGTGTCAGGCAGCGTACTTGTAAACATTTCATGTAATAGCTTTCTGTGAGGGAGCTTCAGACATCTGGCTCCTTTCACCACCAGTGTGAATAATTTTGACTCTAAACGTTTCTCTAGAATGAGGCATTTCAAATCAAACCACTCTGAATGAATTTACATCTTAACCACGTAATCATGCACAAGTTGTAAAAAAAGTGGAATTTCATTTTAAGAAAGCATTTTATTGTGTTTTCTGTATTTCTATGTCTATATGTCTAAATGAGACATTTGAACAGAGACTGAGGACTGTTACTAGCTTTTGAGCTACTAAGACTTGCTTTTGTTTAAAGCATTTGTTTTCAACTGAATGAGAGATAAGAGTGTCATGGACAGCACCTTCACCCTGATAAGACTGTGCATTTGGCCAAGGCCCTGTTTGTATGTGTGTGAAATGTATATAGGCTACTGAAGAAGTGAGTAAGGTGTTGTTTGTGTGTGCATGTGTGTGTATATGTGTATTTCAGCACACGGGAAATGTGGTTTTGAGACAGGAAGATGATGGCTGACAGACCCGCAAACTGATGACATCACACAGGAAGAGGTGGATTTTCAAAGTAAAGAAATATTTCTGATGATGGCTATGTTCCCAGTGAGGAAACAATGTGTATCCAGTTGTCATTTCAATTACTCATAAAAACAATTAATTTCCCCAAATCCCCACACAACTGCCTCATGCTTGATTTCTCTCTCAGACTTGTACAGTAGGTTTTTACAAAAACAAGCAAAACTGCATCAACTGTGTAAACAAGAGGGCTGCTTATAGACTCTTCCCTTTGGCCAACAGACCAGTACTGAAAGTTCCAGTTTTATGGTTTTTGGTAACTGCTCAAGATTCCTACCAACCTAATAGGTGTCAACCTCTAGAGACAGTAACCTTTATAATTACAGCTTTCAAACTGTGTAAATCCACTAACATCCATAAAGTACATCACTACCATTAAAATCATCAACGTCAGCATTTTATCAGGTTTTGATTTTTTTTATTGCGACATATTCCTCTGGTTAGGGCTCGGTTTGAGGTGGGATGCAAGGAGATGCCATCCTCAAGGTTAAAAAAAATTCAAAAACCATTCCCCCTTTCAATTTGGATTAATGTATTCTTTGGATGAATGTGATGTCACTTAAAACAACTACTATTAATATTCTAATTCCACAGCAGCTTTAAAGCAAATTTCAGCCTGGAGAGGTTTGCTAGACCTGCTAATGCTGCCCGCCATAGAGAACGCTAAGATCTGTGAAAAAGTGGTACTGCCAGCTGCATCTCCAGAAAGAGAACTGCTGCAGCGTAGCTAGCGCTATGGTAATGTATGTTAACATAATGTCAAAAGAACTAACAGATGAAGTGGCACCAGTTAATTATCTAGTATTCCCTATAGTGGGCAGCACGAGTAGCTCATATCTTAAAGCAGTGGTCACAAACCCTGGTCCAGGGGATTAACATTTCTGCGGAGTCTAGTTCGAATCACAATCTGCCAAACTCCAGCTTATTAACCATGACTGGTTGGATCAGAAGCATTAGTGATAAGTAAAGGGGAGGGTCAGCATTTAGATACAGGTTGGAACTAAACTATGCAGCAAAGTAGATCTCTAGGCGCAAGGTTGGTTACCACTGCATTAAAGTTTTCTTGAGGATGGAAGATGGCTACGTTAGAGAGCTGAGCGGAAACCACAAACTAACTCAGTCTGAAAGGGGATGCGACTGACCCCAATGCTAACTGATGACAGTAGAGCTAACGAAAGTGGTTTGATTCAGAATCTGAGGCTGAAACATTTTGTAGTATGTACACTCATATCACACCACCTAAAGACTAATCATATGACTTTTTAGGCTAGTATGTCTAAACAAAGTCTGAGCAACAGAATTACTGGCAAGACTTTACAGCTAAATCATATGGGGGGGAAGCCTACGGGTATTTAAGGATTTTCTTCTCTGTCTTTGGCAACACTTGCAGCTGAAGCAAATGGCAATTTAGTGGATTTTTTACACTTCCAGTTGAAGATAAGGTCACCAAGCACTATTACAAGACCAATAAGTGTGCCAAAATTTAAGCTGGAATACTATGTCGATTGCTATTTTTTCATTAAGAGTTAACAATATGGTGACATAAGCTAGGTAGGAAAGATGTTTGATGGGGTTTGATGTGCGGGTCAGTCAAGTTCTTCCACACCATACTGACCCAAGCAGGCCTTTATGGGCCTTACTTTGTGCACTGGGGCTCAGTCATGCTGGAACAGAAAAGAGCCTTCCCCAAACTGTTCTCACAAGGTTGGAAGCATGTAATCGTCCAAAATGTCTTTGGTGTGCTGAAGCATTAAGAATTCCCTTCAATGGAACTAAGGAGCCTAGACCAACTCCTGAAAAACAACCCCATAGCATTATTTCTCCACTACCAAACTTTATAGTTGGCACAGTGCAGTCAGGCAGGTAACGTTCTCCTGGCATTTGCCAAACCCAAACTCATCCATCAGACTGCCAAATAGATTCGTCTCTCCACAGAACACGTATCCACTGCTCCAGAGTCCAATGGTGGCGTGCTTTACACTACTCCATCCAACGCTTGGCTTTGTGCTTGGTGATGCAAGGCTTGCATGCAGCTGCTCAGCCACGGAAACCCATGCCATGAAGCTCCTGGCACACAGTTTTTGTGCTGATGTTGATGCCAGAGGAGGTTTGGAACTGCAGTTATTGAGTCAGCAGAGCATTGGCGACTTTCACGCGCTATGCTCCTCAGTACTCGCCAACCCCACTCTGTAACTTCACGTGGACTGACAATTCATGGCTGAGTTGCAGTTAATCCTAAATGCTTCCACTTTTTCATAAAACCACTCACAGTTGATCGTGGAATATCTAGGAGGGAAGAAATTTTGCCAACTGACATGTTGCAACAGTGGTACATCCTATTACCACGCTCGAATTCAGTGAACTTTAGAACGACCCATTCTGTCACAAATGTTCATAAAGGCAGACTGCATGGCTATGAACTTGATTTTATACACCTGTGGCAATGGGACTGAATGAAACACCCAAATTCAATAATTAACAAGTGTGTCCTAATACTTTTGTCTACATAGTGTATGATTTATGATCGCTTCTACAGAATGAGTGTCTTTACTCGTTACACGTGACAGAAAAATACAAGCTTCACTTGATTCTATTCATAAATCTATGTAATTGTAAACATTCGTATAGCAGCTGAGCACAAAAAGTGCAGTATATCATTTCATATCAGCCAAAAAGTTAGCAAGAATGATAGCTAATTAGTCGAATAACGGCGGTTGTTAAGACGCTCCCGGTCATCTCTGAAACAGGTTGACAATGAACTAGAAAAGTTCAACTGGTTCCTGTTTAGGTCAGTTTTAATTTTTGATTGTGCAGTGGAAAAACAGCATATGATTGTTCACAGTACATGAAGCTTATTCCATATTAAGTAGATGTGTATTGACTGCAACTGAGTGTAACATTATGCATCATTTGTGAAAGAAAAAAAGAAAAAAAACTATTCAAACTTCACTGCATATCAGATGCAGAGATACCAATTAAGCTGATTCCATACAATTTCCAGAAGGAGGGGTTGAATTCATTCTTGTTGATCTCAGAAGTCCATCACAATTTCTACTTCTGGAGCATGTTTTTGTTGTATTTCCATCACGCTAAGAACAACAGATGGGTATCAATTAAAATGGCTAAATGAGAGCACAGAGCATCTATGATAAATGTCTTAAAAAACAGTTTAATGGAAAACAAAACATCACCACCAGTGTTGATGACTGGAACAGATCAGGGTGCCAATGAATACAGGAAGCCAGCTAACGTGACTGTAAAAAGATAAGCACACTGGAGTAGCGACTACTACTGCAGGTCTAAAAGTTCTGGTAATAACCATGAAAATTAGCGACAAAGCAGTGTGCAGTATAAGCTAAACAGGTAATGAGATACGTTACACTTCAGCAAATTGTAAAACTGTATGGTTTCATTCTCCACCGATTTTTCAAAACATTCTATTGCAAAACATCAAGCAAACAGCAGTGGCACCATTTTTGGCACTGTTAAAATTTCATGGAACTTTTATCGTTAAGTCCTGCATAAAAATGTAAAAAAAGTAGCGAGTTAGCACACAGGTAATGCCAATTTGTCATCCAACACATGTCCGCCAAGTGACATACATAACGTTCAAACCATTGTAGAATTAG